TGTTACTTCTTTTCCTTGCCTGTCTTCTTAATGCCATAGGAATATAACCACATGCATATCTCAGAACATTTTCCCCTATGATATCCATCTTCATCACAGGGGTGTTGTCATGTTTATGAATTTTCTCCCGTCGTAACAATATCTCTTCAAAAATTGCATTAACAAGATACGCTCTTTGAGAGTTATTGGCCTTTTGGTTTACATGTTCACACAATGTTAATAATGCACGTTTCAATGTAGCAGAGAGTCTTACTTCATGGTACTTTCTGTAAATTGCTTCTCTGCGTGAACAGCTGAAGAGCAGTTTATCCCCAGCTACAATGGCTGGCCATAGGATTTCTATTACAGAAATCATTGCATTCTGCATTATATCTGGATATTCTGTTGCACCTTTCTGTAGAGCTGAAATAACACCCTGCAGAACGACAATGGCACCGACAAACACTCCCACTTTAATATAGTCCTTTGCCAGCAACTTATCCATAGCGGCAATCAATATCTCCTTTGCCCCAGAAAGTGCATCTTCTTTATTGTACGAGAATTCTCGTCTTGCAGCTATAAGAGATAAATAACACTCATGTAAATAATAATAAATATAATTAAACAAGGATTAAAGAGAAAACAAATGTAACAAGCTTTTAATCTAGGAAAGGCAATAAAAATGTTTACAGTGAACACCATCGTATAATAAAAATAAAGTGATAAAACAAAATAAAAAAATAGTTTCATCATAGACCCTACAAATGGGTCTATGGTCTTATGTCATCTCCTACCCGGAGTACTCCCTCCCCATAGATCACACAGTAGGGTATATGCTCTCCTGTAGTCATGAAAAATGATAAATGTATAAATAGCAATACAATGCATATACATTATACCGACCTTTAGTATTTATTTTTGTCTTTGGTTTTGTCTTCGCTTTGTTTACTTCCGTATTTGAATCCCCTGGTGCAGTACCATGGTCTGTGAAAAAACAACAACAATGATTTACGCCATTTTTAGATAAATTCCTGCAAATACATAACGATGTTATTAAGAGCATTTCAAAGCTACTTCTAAGTATATCATAGAAACCCAAATATAACACGGTTATTTTGTTTTATAAGGACCACAACATCGAGTAATACATTATAAGCCTTCGGGGGAAAAATATCGATCATGGCAGCCATCTTGGGGAAACAAAACCAAATGCCGTCGATCGTAGTAAGCGTTTTTTTTCTCCAGACAATTCGTGGCATTCACAACCAGGGATTGATGAAAATATTTCCTACCTCGAATGTTATGTCCATTTAGGAGATGGTTTTTACATCCTTGTTTAGTCTTGAAGAGCTTACAGCACACTGTGCATTTGTACTTTCCAGCATCGCCGTCGGCTTCACAGTTCACCTCGATGTAAACATCTAAAAAACGTAAATTTCGGCGATCGGCTCGTCCGACCTTAGATTTCCCGTCTTCTACAATATTTTCATCG